TCCACTTCACCATCATCAACTCCTTCAGGCACTTTGACTTCAGCTTGATGGCACCTGGTTTGTTCAACCTTTATTTTGCATCAATGTCTGCAGTCATTTTTGCAGGGTTTTAGGCTCAGTCCATCAGCATTTCCATGAGATTTTCCTTCTCTATGTTCAATATCATAATTATACTGGTCTATTTTTCGATCCAACGTGCCAGTTGTCCCTCTGGGTTCTTTAATGATCTTAACCAGCGTAACTCAGCATGGTCTGTCCTGATGGTAAACCTGGCACCATAGAGGTAAGGATGGAAATATGTCAGACTCTTTACTATAGCAAAGAGTTCCCTCCGTGTTACACAGTAGTTCCTCTCTGGTCTACTCGAAACCCTACTGAAGTAGGCCACCACATGTTCGTTTTCGCCCGCTTTCTGAGACAACACTCCTCCAATTCCGACATTACTAGCATCACAATCCAGTATGTATGGCAGTGAGGGATGTGGAAGCATTAAAAGTGGAGCTGAGGCCAATTTTTCTTTTAATGTATTGAAAGCATGCTGGCAAGAAACTGTCCATTCGAACTTCTGGCCTTTTTTCCTACTAGATCACCCCTATTGCTGACATTCATATCTGGGATGTGACTTCTAACAGGACTGAAGATGTCTGCATTAGGATTTAGCTGCGGGGTCTGGAAGGGGCTTGCCGTTGTCTGGGGCTGATTAAGTCGATGGTTAATGTATCCTCCTTGTGCAAAAGATAGCAAATCGTCCCCAATGCATCCAATTCACTTTGAAACCCACCAATGTAGTCTACCCATACTTCTTGCCACTGCTGTTGACTTTTCTGTAGTTGCTGCTGACTTTCTCGCAACTATTAGAGACTTTCTTCCTGTTTATTTTCTTTCTCCTCCAGCCACTGCTGTAGTCTCTATTCTCGTTCATTTTCTTTCTCCTCCAACCACTGCTGTAGTCTCTCTTTTTGTTTATTTTCTTTCTCCTCCAACCACTGCTGTAATCTCTCTTGTTTATTTTGCTGTTCGAGCTTCCACTGTTGCAAGTTATCTTGCAACTGCTGTTGTCTCTCTTCTTGTTTCTTTTTTCGTTCTTCTTGTTTCTTTTGCTGTTCGAGCTTCCACTGTTGCAAGTTATCTTGCAACTGCTGTTGTCTCTGTTCTTGTTTCTTTTCTCGTTCTTCTTGTTTATTTTGCTGTTCTTGTATTGTTGCCATCAAATCTGCTAAGCTGTAGTTTGATTTGCCACTTCTCGTTTCCATCTTACTCTTCATCTTTTTTTCTTTACCTTTATTTTCCATCCCACTCCCTGACACCAACTTGCCATGTCTCTGCTCGCTTGTTAATTTCCCATAGAAATTCTTCCCGAGAAACCCCAGTGATACAAGTCCTTTCCTAAATAAAACTACTCCACTCTTTCTCAATCCAACTCTGCAACACACCCAATCTCCACAGTCACCCAAACCCAAACACACGCTATAATTCACAACAAATGACTCACGCACCCTACTTACTACCGCACTTGACTCAACCGTCCGCCCACATCCTCAATCTCCCCATCTGCTATACTATTCCGATTCATTGTCTGGCGCACTTATATACAAGAATGGAGGGTGCCTAGCAAATTCTAGAACTCATTACGTGTTACCAGCGTCACGTGACTTCTGCTGTCGTAACAAAGGTTTCCATAAGCATTTGAGTGATCATAAGTATCTTGCATTATGATTCAGATATCAAATTAATTTTCCTGAAGTTTTTAGAAAGGGTCAGTTCATTTTGAAGCTTTTTTGTGTCGTATACACTTGCTATAAAACATACATCACATAATTTTGCATTTTTTATACTATTATACCAATATTAAAATATAAAGTATGATTTAAATGAACTTGTAAAGTTTTATTTCGATTTTTTTAATGGTAATATAGTGATGACTCGTTATTTTTGGTTGGAGAGAATCAGTGGAGAGGAGGTTCTGCTCGATATGGTCGCAGAGCAGAAATGATACCTACATCTACCTCAGGTAGGCGTGTAAAATATTTCCAATTCAAAATAATGAAGTCTAATCAGATTTTGTGTATATATCTAGTATAAAAATATGTTAAAAGTAATGGGAAACATTTGGTGAATAATAACGAAAATTATAGAATTTAACTAAATCTTTATGTTTTAAGGTTAAGTAGGTAATATATTGTTATGTATCTGCTTGTTTGATAATTTCTTGTAAAATTTATTTCCGAGAAACTTCAGCGATACAATTTCTTTCTTAATTAAAACTAGTTTATTGTTTCTCGTTATAAACTTTGTAATACACTTAATTTTCACAGTCACTTTAAACTTAACTACTTTTATAAACACACACTATAATTCACAGCGATTCACACACTTTACTTGCCTACTGCTCGCTTGACTCGAATTATCTGTCGATCTGCAATTATGTGTCAGGCTTATATACTAAAAAAAGACGGTGCCTGGTACCGACTAGAATTGCCAGGAAAAGTCATGATCCTTCTAGAACCTCATTACGTGACTTCCACTGTCGTAACAATATGTGAAAAATACCAAAATAATACTTATTAATTAGCATGTATTCGCCACTTAAAACTTTTTAAACACTGATGCTATAACGTTAGTAATAGTAGGTCTATTTGTAGTCTAATTTAAACATTAGGTCTAATACATAACGTAAGGCTTAGATGAAACACTACTTGGTAAATTTTATTTTGCTTTACGTTACAACTCATTATCATAAAACTTCTGAATTGAACTATTTTGCTGTTCTAACATCAAAGTTACCAAAAAAATAAAGAATAAAAAACAAACTTTTCTAACAAATCAACGTAAACACCATAGTTGGCATAAGAACAATTAGGTGATAGTTTTGTTGCTATGGGACGATGTATATTGTTGAGCATTACCAAAAAAGAAGTGTGAAAGTGTTCTTGACTGAGTGACAAAGGGAATAAGTCTTTGATAGTTAGTGATTAATTATATTGACAGAGTGACAAAAGGAATAAGCCTTTTATAGTTAGTGATTTAATTATATTGACAGAGTGACAAAGGGAATAAGTTTTATAGTTAGTGATTAACTATATTGAGAGAATGACAAAGGGAATAAGTCTTTTATATTTAGTGATTAATTATATTGACAGAGTGACAAAGGGAATAAGCCTTTTATAGTTAGTGATTAATTATAATGACAGAGTGACAAATGGAATAAGCCTTTAATAGTTAGTGATATAAAATCATCGACGGGAAATGTCTTGTCATCAGTTTTTGAATAAGACGTATTTCTGTTCCTGGTCTAGAGAGTCACAGAGTTTAAAGGATAAAAACATGTATTTATTTGTAGTTCTAGGAAAACTATTCATTAAAATCAAAAGACAACAGTTGGTGATCTTTATAATCATTTTATGATTCAAGTCCTGTAGCGGAGTGGCAAGGTCATGAGGTCAACTGTACTCTACTGATTTTTGGTGTTTAGTGTGTGAAACTTATTTCACCAATAAAACAGCTAAAGTTCTGTAAAGGTATAAATTTAATCATATGTTAAATTGAGAGGACACCAAGTTTACTTGTTAAGCTAATACTCTTTTGCAGGGTTTGTCAGCTGAAAAAAATGGCTTCTATGGTGAAGAAGTGACTTGAAGGGTTTGGGGTTCAGTTTGTTCATAAAATCCATCTAACTTTTCAAGTGAATGGGTTAATTTTTTTCTGCTTCATTACTTTTAATGTTGGTAAAACCAAAAATTCACTAACTCTATTAGGCAGAAACCTCTTACAATGTTTAGATCCTGATACTGTTTGATAATTTTTAAGATGACTCAAAATTGAAACTAGCATTTTTCTGTCAAATTTGCAAAGGTCATGGATTTTAGTTGTGTAAGAGATGTTAGAATACCCCCACAAATGTGAGTTTCAGTAAATAATGTACTTGTCAAGCTACGTTTCCTTTAAAATATTTGTTGCCTAATTCCGTTGGTTTAGCCCAAAGCTGTAAAGATATATTGTAATAAACATGTATATGTGTGTAGTTTTTATAAGAATTACAGTGTTTTAACTTATTCCTTTCAATTATTATCAAAGGTTCGATGACTCCTGAATTCTTAAAGGACATTGGTACTTCTAAGTCAGCAGAATGGACCAGACTGAGAAAAAACACTGACCAGTTGTTGGAAGAATGCTGGCTATCATTACACAACTTTGCACAATCACACAAAGGTCGTTTAACAACAACAGCAGTGGATGAAAGTAATTTTATTCTCTCTCTCTCTGTGTATAAATATATATGTATATCCATTTTTATGCACTTATAAATTTTAGTTTTTTAAGTGTGAGAAAAGGGTACATAATCTATCATAATTCATGTCTTTCAAGCTGCAAGGTGTAATGATTCATGATCCTTCCAGAAACTCCAGTGCGCATGCTCCCAGCATCACGCGATTTCTGCTGTTGTAACAATTCCATGACTTACTTCTGCCTTATTGTCATTTTAATGTTTTTATGAGAAACCTAAACTGCAGTTCTATCATTGACAGTTCTATCATTCCATTACAGTTCCTTCCCTCCTGTCACAAAAAATGATTTTCCAGTTTTGTGCTGCCCTTTATATGCAAACTTTTTTTCCATACACATGCCACAAGCCTACCACATCTCTCTGTTGGAATCCAAAGTTGCAACATGTCTTTCATGCAAATCATCATGTGTCAGCTCTCCACTAATAGGAGAGCACTAATATCATGTAATGCATGTGACTTCCTCTAATCGCCACTACCGAAATATCACTTTTCATTTGGCAGTACTCGAGTGCAGACATCTTTGTTTAAGTCACTGATTACCCTGGAAGTGAGTTAACATAGTTCAACTTCATTTCCATTTAATTTCACTTTTATATAACATCGTTTGATTTACCCATGTTTGTTGTGCATTTTTCGCTTGTTTAGTATATAGCTTGAATTCTGAAGTCGCTGTTACCACTTCAGATACATATCACTCGTCTGTTACCACACTTTCGGCCACAGGCGAGGGCGACCAGTAGCGGGAAATTCTCGACCTTTGTTTGCAGAGGGATGGAGCATTATGTGGAATGCACATTGTTTCCTTCTTCCTTTTACTTTTCGAGCGTTTTACAGGTGCAGGCTGACTAAATATTGATCTGTTTTTCTCCCCTCCCGAGTTTTCTGTGCCTTCCCACATCTTCCTGAGGATTCTGTTCAGCCATTGTCTGCTTTCTCGGAGATTATATCTCAGGTATGTGATGGTTTCTCTATTGCCATAGTTATTTTGAACCATGTTCTTCCATTATTGTTTCTACTTCTCTACCTTGTTTCCCCCCAGTCCCCTTATGTTTGGGTTTACACTGTGTTTTTGCCACCCCGTTGAGTGATGGCATTGGTATGCCTAGTTCCCCACGAGCTTCAGGTCGGCCTGCCCTTGCGAATTTTAGGACAAACTTTCAAACTCTGGACCACCAGTTATGGGTTCAGTTTTACCTGTTTGGGGGGACAGATTCTAATTTTCCTGTTTATCCTACCTATGCCCCATTTTCTCGCCTTGGACTTCCTCTGTTACTCTTTGTAATATCTCACCTCAATTCTTTTCCTGTCTGAGGTTCTTCATGGGAACCCTGTGGGATTTTCTGGGGACATCATTTCTCTCTTCTCTTCCACTGTCGGCCACGTGTTGTCTTTGGTTCTGGCCCTACACACATGGTTCACTTCTTTTTAGGACTTTTTGGGTCATGACACAATATTTTCGTGGACCCATCGCCCGGCTCCATATATATAACACATTCTTATGGCCCCGTTTTTACGACGTATCGAGTGTGACACGATAACTGTGTTCTTGGAGTCGTGGGTGGCTTCTGTCCAACAGTGATCTATCTTTCACATTGGGTGCCCAATTGGTTTCCTTCAGAGCCAGATGTGGCTCCGAGTCCCGTTTCCTGACTCTACCTTTCCTAGCACTGCCTGTTCCAGCATCTCGTGGTACCGCAGTTTGACATTTTTTGCAGTGATACATGGTATGCAGGCAACGGTTCTGGTGACTGCCTGGTGAGTTTAAGACTGGTAGTAGTTCGTCTGGTGAATTTTGTTCATCAGAGCAGCCCTTTCCTCTCCAAAGCTTGGGTTCATTGTGTTCTATCAGATGGTTTTGTTATACCCTTTTCCCCTCTCTCCTGTTTCCTTCCACCTCCTCAGGAACCCTGGTCACGCCATTGTCTTCCAAGATAGTACTCGACCTCTCCCCCAACAGGTTGTTGTACTTGCTCCATGCGGGTTGTGCAGGTTTTACTCCCACCAGTTTGCCCATCGTGGGGTAGTATACCTTTTTAGTACTCTTCCCTTTGGTCTGGCTTCTGCACAGTGTGTTTTTTTTCAAGTGGTTCACCCCTTTGCTCGGCACATTCATACCCTGGGGCTGCAATTCCATGCTTACATGGACAACTGGCTTATTCTTGCCCATTCTGAACAGTCAAACAGTCTTACTCATCAGCTCCTTCTCGACGCTGTGAAGGTGGGATGGTTCAGGATGTCCTTCCTTCATCCTACCCATTACTTTGTACATCTATTGAACTGGCTGTTTGGACAGCCCTGTCTGCTCTCTTACTTACTACTGGTGAGATTCTATCACTTTTGAGGAGGTGGTTGTCTCTGACACTTATCATACCCCTTGGCAGGACTCATAGGCATTTGCTTCAGTGAGCCTTTCATGATCAGTGGAACCTCACATGGGATTCCCTGGATGCTCCTATTCACCTTCCATCCTCCTTGATGGACGATCTACATTGGTGGTTGGACATGGCCCATATGTCGGCAGGTGTCCCACTTCCTTCTTTGCGGCCAGAATTACATCTGTTCATGGATGCATCTCTTCAAGGCTGGGGTGTGTGGGTCGATCACTAAGAGGTTTCGGGTCATTTGTCAATGGAAAAATGTTCTCTTTACATCAATGTCCTGGAACTTCTGGCTGTTCGTCGGGCATTGGATCATTTTCTTTCTATCACCAGCAGTCATCTGGTTATGATCCATTCTGACACCTGGTTGAGAACCCTGTTTTTTCATACAGTGGATTTTCTCTATTGGGCCCACTCCCATCACATTCATTTGATGCGTCTCATATTCCAGGTGCATTCAATCTGGTGCTGGATCGTCTTTCCAGACCAGTTCAGGTTTATCCCAAGGAGTGGTCCCTACATCCTGCTGTTTTTCGGTGGCACTTTCATTGTTTGGGTATTCCCCATATTGATGTGTTTGCCACCTCGCTCAATCACAAATTACCTTTGTTTTGGTACCCAGTTCCCCATCCTAGGGCTTTGGCAATAGATACCTTCAGCCAGGATTGGTCTCACTTGTGTCTTTCTGTTTATCCTTCTATCCAGTTACTTCATTGGGTAGTCTCCCTCATCCATGCCACTCCCTGCAGAGTCCTTCTGATTGCTCCTTACTGACCTGCTCAACCATGGTTCCCTCAGTTGCTTCAGCTCCAGGTGATCCCTCCCATCCCTCTTCCCTTGCTTCCAGACCTATTACTTCAACCCCAGTAGGTGGTTCTACATCCTGCACTTCCCATCCTCTTTCTTCACCTGTGGCTTTTTCAGGTCCCTCGCAAGGAGTTCTGTATTCTCTCGCCAAGTATCTTCTCATTTAACCCATTCCATTTTTCCTTCTTCTTTGGCTTTTTACTGGTGAAAGTGGAATGTTTTCCACTCCTGGGCTTTGGCTCAGAATTTTCCGGCTTCTCAGTCTACAATTGCCGGTATCTCCAAATTCCTTATCTGGTTCTTTGAGAGGGGTTTGTCGGTTTCCTCAATTTTGGGTTTTCGGCAGCCTTATCCCATACCTTCTGTTTTTACTGTTTCTGCAGGGTCTTTTCCTTCTCAATCCTTTCCATGTTGACCTGTTCTTTCTGTCTCTGTTGGCCGTCGAGACATCTATCACTTCTGGACTGGCACATTAACATGGTCCTCCATGCTCTTACATTTCCTCCATTTGAACCCATTTCTTCCTGTTACTTGTTTCACTTCTCCCTTAAGGCATATTCCCTCCTCCTACTGGCTTGCGGGCATCATGGATTGATGTCACCAGGACCTTTTATTATTCAGCCTACCTCGTCCTTTATCCAGATCATGCATTTCTTCCCCAGACCTCAGTGGGTCGCGAGGGTCATTTTTTCTTTACCCTATCTCCCTTCCCTCTATCTCTCATCTCTACCCTCTTCCTGATCCAGATAGACACCTCTGCCCAGTATGTGCCCTCTATTGTTATATTGCATGCACGGCTTACTTCCGGGGTTCTCGTTCCTGACTCTTTCTCCCATGGAACTTCCTCTTCCCATTGTCTTTCCCCTGTTACCCTGACCAGTTGGGTTCATCATTTGATTCAATTGGCTTATTCCTCCTTATAACCCTCCCAACATAATTTCTTTCTCGTTTCTTCCTATCAAATCCAACACCTTACCTTCTCCCTCGTTTATTGTTTTCATTGGCCATTTGAGGAGACTCTAGAGTGGGCACGTGGATGACTCTGCACACGTTCATCTCCCACTACTTGCACCACATCGTGATTTCTGCTTCCTTGGGGTATCGCCTGTTGCCTGTGGCTATTTTACAGACTTCGGTATGGCTTTGACACGAGGTAAGTCCTTACTTATGCTTTCTTTTCTTTCAGTGGCCCTTGCTTCAACTTCACTTTGGATCCTACTCTGCGGTGAGTGGTGCCTGACCAGGTATTCTTTCAGAACACTGAATGGGTTCCACTTAGATGGTTATAATCATTCTCAGATATATTTATACTTAAACAAACAAAAACATAAATCCGCACTGTACGGCATGTTGATTCGCACACTTTTTCCATGGCTATACATGCTCACCCTAGGGATTGAGTGTTTCACGAGATCACTAGTGTGTGTGTGAATAACATTGCGATGTTTGCTTCATAAAAATGCCTGTCCCGGACCATACAACCCATGGAAGGCATGGGTAAAGCAGAAGGGGATGCTGTTCATCCCTGGACAGAATAAGTTGGTGTGTTCTGCTTTTCAAAATAGAGTTTTGTGATCACCCATTGCACTGTCTTGGGTGTAGCAGTCCCTCCAGACTCTCCAACTCACTTCTTCCCCTCCTTTCTTCCAGTGGAGTATGGGAGTCCTTACCACTCACCAGTTACAAGTTGCTGGGGTGGTTGATCATGGAGACAACCTGCTGAATGGGTTCCACAAAGATGGCTATAACCATTCAGTTCAGAGTAGGGTGGTGGTGTTCTGCTGGTGTAGAAGGTGTTACAAGATCCTCTGGATGAGTGACACATGCCCAGAATGATACACCTAAATGCAGTTCACCCCTCTGATTGGGTGCCCTCCTCCTACCCATGAGTGGATGTCGGTTCCCAGTGAGTGAGGTTTTGGAGATCGAGTGAACCAATCACATAAGTCCTCACACAAGT